TAGGCAGAATGGTGGGTTATTTGTAATGTTGCTGAAGACAAACTCAATGCCTCATGCATGCCTCTCAGTGCCAAAGACCTCTCATTCTGCTGGGGCCAAAAATAACTCCCTCAATACCATGGGCTTCTGTGCCATGTGGTAAACTCTCCTGCGGGGACCCAATTTATGGGTGAATAACTCAGATGTCCAATATCCAATCTTCACCAAAATTGGCAGGCATGTTGGGGAAAGACATAGGAAGTTCCGTTGTGATTCAGGATTCTCCAAGTACTGTACCTCGGGGGAGCTTTCTTGGGGGTGTCCTATTTGTGAGTATATAACTCAGGGGTACACGATCCAATGTTCACCAAACCTTCAGGAGTTGTAGAAATGCATATAAGGAAGCTTTCCTGCACATTTGGTGTCTCTAGGTGCTTGGGGGCCAGTTTTATAGTCTTTTAAAGCGAAGACAAATCAACGGATCAATTCATCAAAGAATATTCGTATTCGTTGATCTGTTAACCTTGATGAATCACGAATCAAAATGGATCACATCTTTTTTTATTTGTCCCCATCTCTTGTTTCCACCCATGTTTTACAGTTGTTCGAGGAGCTGGAGTGCTTGGAGCACTCTTTGGAAGGTGTACAACATAATTAGGCAAGGAATATTTTTGCCTCCTTGTGAGCTGGGTACTGAAATTACCAGCCGTGGAAGGATGGAAAGCTGAGTCAACTTTAAGCGGGCTATCTGAACCCATGGAGATTGAACTGAGGTCATGAGCCGAGGACTGAGTGCAGTACTATAGCTTAACCACTGTGCCATGGGGTTTGATATTTAGTACATTTTCCACAACCAGCCTCCAGGGCATTTTTGAACTTTCCAAATCCCTCCCAACTTAAATTTTTTAAAAGAAGGAAAGTTTTGTTCAAAATGCCCCCTTGTATCTCCTAGGGGGCAATTTTGCTATCTTTGACAGGATCTCCAGATGGCCCAAATTCAACAACCTCCGATATGCAGATGATACCACTCTGATGGCAGAAAGTGAGGAGGAATTAAAAAACCTTGTAATGCGGGTGAAAGAGGAGAGCGCAAAAAACGGCCTGAAACTCAACATCAATAAAACTTAGATCATGGCCACTGGTCCCATCACCTCCTGGGAAATTGAAGGGGAAGATATGGAGGCAGTGACAGATTTTACTTTCTTGGGCTCCATGATCACTGCAGATGGAGACAGCAGCCACAAAATTAAAAGACGCCTGCTTCTTGGGAGGAAAGCAATGACAAACCTTGACAGCATCTTAAAAAGCAGAGATATCACCTTGCCAACAAAAGTCCGAATAGTCAAAGCTATGTTTTTTCCTGTCGTGATGTATGGAAGTGAGAGCTGGACCATAAAAAAGCAGACCACTGAAGAATTGATGCCTTTGAATTGTGGTGCTGGAGGAGGCTCTTGAGAGTCCCCGTGACTGCAAGGAGAACAAACCTATCCATTCTAAAGGAAATCAACTCTGAGTGCTCATTGGAAGGACAAATCCTGAAGCTGAGGCTCCAGTACTTTGGCCATCTGATGAGAAGAGAAGACTCCTTGGAAAAGACCTTGATGTTAGGAAAGTGTGGTGGCAAGAGGAGAAGGGGACGACAGAGGATGAGATGGCTGGACAGTGTCTGCGAAGCAACCAACATGAAATTGACACAACTATGGGAGGCAGTGGAAAATAGGAGGGCCTGGCGTGCTCTGGTCCATGGGGTCACAAAGAGTCAGACACAACTAAACGAAAACGACGATGCTATTTTTTAAGGCAATGCTATGTGTAAAGCACATGCGTTGCATGTTTAAGATTCCAGGTTCTGTCTCCTGCATCTTCTGTGAAAAATATCTCCAGAGGCAGAAGGACCAAGAAATAGCTACACTGTGACCTTGTGTGGCTGCTGCCAGGCATCAGAGTTCCTGGCTAGACAGATACATGTTCTGACCCAGTGTAAAGCAGCTTCATATGCTACACTTGATGAAGTGTGATATTTAGACAAGTGGAGAATATCTACAGCTGCTACAGTACAAAGGAGGAACATAAGCATGAGGCACACACATGCAATCAAAGCTTTGCTTGCTAGACTACAGCAGTTTCCAAAGCAGAAAATGTGTATTGTCTCTTCCGCAGCAGTGGTAGCAACTGCAGCAGAAACAATAAGGTAGGATCTGCTTATCTGCAGGATCAGTATCCATGGATTCACTTACCTGCTGCTTGGAAATGTTAAATTAAAAAAAACCCAGATGTGTTTACCAGAATTGATTACTAGAGCATGCCAAAGATCATGCTATGTACTGTACAGCATTCACTATTTCCATGTTTTTCAGCATCCATGGGCTCGTGGGCTTGGAACCAATTCCCTATGGATACTGTCGTCCTGCTGTATAATTGTAGCTTAATACTCCATTCTCTTGCACATAATTGAACTCTCTTAGCACCTAATGTCATCATATCTACAATACTTTTAAGCCTGCACAAATTCTCCCCAGCTTACTGGGTTAACTTTTCTATTGCAGTTCTCAAAGAAGTTTATAACAATTTCAAACATTAAACTCTGAACAACCTGCAACCAGCACCAGGCATGGCAGAAGGGTCTATTTGACACTGTTAGACTTTGTTGCAAAAGTAAAGAGTACCAGGAATTTCCTCACTTACCTGCATGTCATTCTTTTTTTGTTTTCACTACTTTTACATTTGCTCCTGCTACTTTCTCTGCTTCTGCTTTAAACTGTGGTTTTAACGCATCTCTTACTGCCTTGGCACAGATCTGAGAATACCGGATGTAACTGGAAGGAGAAGAGAAAGATTTATAAACCCCATTGTGTATGTTACGCCCAGTCAAGTTGCTTTCAACATAAGGTAACTCCCATTGGTTTTTGAAGTATGTCAGATGTTCAAACTTTGGCTTACCCCCACATCCCCCTGATAAATCTTCCTAGCTGAGTTGGTTATTCTGTCCACTATGCCGCACTGGCTTTCACGTGAAACACCTTAGACTGCCTCTGTTGGAAACAGCTAACACAAAATTAGCCTTCAAACATCCTCAAGAGAAGAACAACTCCACACATATTCATTTACTGAATTTATATACCACGCATCTAGCCAATATACATTAACTGTTGTGAAAAAATAAGAGAAGTATCCATCATCATCAAGAATCATGATGTACAGAAACTTGACCAACTTTCGGTTGTCTTTACTTTTTATATCCAGAAAATATTCAAAAGGTTTTTTTTCTCTGCAGATTTGGGGTGTGAGTGGCTTGTTTGCAGAGGAAAGGGTAAATAATGGAAGGAGAAGCAGCAGCCAAGAGAAAAGAGAACAGCAAGTGTTGTGTGTGTAGAAAAGATGGCAAAAGAGGGGAAGAGAGAGAACACACAGTGTCAGTATTCACCTCTCTCTCTCTCTCTCTGCAAAGCCTCTGCTCCCAGAAGCTGCCACTTTTTTTTAAAGTCCCCCTTGTCCTGTTGTTTTTTAAAACAACTTAAGCACTCTCTTGCAGGCAAGAGAAGCTACAGAAGTTCTTCTGAACTGTGCCACCTACAGGTGCTTCAAATGGAACTCCTAGTAAAAGGTTTTTAAACAGCTTCTATGGTCACTTACTTTACATTGGAAAGAAGTGAATACCCCAATGCAACTTTGCAGTGAGAGAAGATGAGCTAATTTGCATTTTCCCATTGTTACATTTGACTGTAACAATGATTTCAGATGAGCATCACTGATGTCTGCGCAGAGAAGATGAAACTAGAAGGGAAGGCATGGTTTGGCATTAAAGGGTCCTAGCTGTACAGAGTCTGAAGGTTTGGCCAATCAGTTGTTGCACATGCATGGGTGTCATGTGGCACTGCTTGCACTTCTGTCTTTACTGACTGCTTTAGAGTTTCCAAACATTCCATTTGATACATCCTCTGCTCCCCATTATTTTTCACTATTTGATCCAAGTCCCTTCTCCGTTATTCATTATCTCAATCTTCTTAAGCTAATCTGGAAAGATATCACAATCCACAGAGGCCTTGGTTTCATGACAGTTGTTTTCATTCCCAAGCAGCACAAAAGAATATGTTCTGTACCTGAATACTGGGAAACACTAAAGCTTGAAGCATATACATATTCGGTATGCTAACAAAAGTGTAAACGTATGTACAGACAGGTAGCATGTTCATGCATATTCAATCTACGATCATAAACAAGAGCTCTGTTGAATCAATGCAAAAGCTAGCATCCAGTTTCCCGTGACCAACCAAACATCTACGGAAAACCCTTCTCTTTCTGTTGTTATTCAGCACCTGGTATTCAGACTTGTGGTACCGATCATAGAAATAGCACAGGGATCTGCAGACTTTTGATCCTGAGGTCCACCCCAGCTATTTTCATTTTTGGGGGCCGAAGGAACAGGAAGAACCCTGATATGTTGCTATTTGGGAAGAAAGGGAATTGCCCTGCCAATACCTGAATACTTCCAGGTATTCAGATTGCAACAGGTAGGTACAAATTCCGGGAACCAAAATAAATCTCATCCGAATAGCACACACGAGTCAGATAATTAAATTCCTCTCCCCTCCCGCAACTCCGAAGGGCCCTTGAGCTTCATCTCTTACGGCCCGCGGTCCTCCAGGGCTAGCAGGAGGCTCGACACGTATCTCCGAAGCAGGCGAACGTGTGAAGTACAGGCAAAGAGCTCGAGAAACTTCTCAAAGGGCCCCCTGCCTCCGAGGAGAGGCGAAGGTTTAAGATAAGCCAAAAGACCGAGCTTTCCGTACCTGAGCCCAGCCTGTCTCCAGTACGACACCATGGCTACTGAACGGCCCAACCGCGACCGGCTTTCCTCTCGTCTAAACCCGCAAGGTCGGGAGCAATCAAACCGCTCGACCCTGACAAGATCCGGCGTAACTCGGAAGCATTTCCAAGACCCGGAAACAGAAGGTGATGCGACCAATCACAAGACAGCCTGCCTATCATCGCCCCTCCTCCTTGAAATCCGACCCGGCCCCCCTCAAGGCCTATCACTGCCCTTGAAGTTCCTCTTCAGAGGTAGGAACCAATCAGATCACGGGCTGTTGTCCCGGCGGGCGTTTCCATTGGCTACGCGATATGCCGTTGGCTTTGAACCTTCCAGCGCTAGTGGTGCTGTGAGGGCCTGGAGCTTCCTCAGCTTTAGAGCGCTGGTTCCCAACCTTAGGTCGCCCAGGTGTTCTTAAGACCACAATTCCCAGAAGCCCCAGTCAAATTGGTTTTATTTATTTAGCTTAATTAAATGCTGCCTTTCTTCTGGAACTGGAAACCAAAGTGGTTTATAATACCGTTTTTAAAAAGCTATTAAATCATTAAAGGCACCAAAGCACCATATATTACAAATATTAAAATAGAAATAAACTCTTTATAGTGCTGAGATAAGTAGTATTGATTGGTAATCTTAATTAGTATCAATAAGTAAAAATTAGAATACTGTACTTTAAAACCTTTTAGTTAAAATATGAATAATACTTTGCCAAAAAAGGGAAACCAGCAAATTATCTAATGCTTTCTTAATTTGTTGTTGTTTAGTCGTTTAGACGTGTCCGACTCTTCGTGACCCCATGGAGCAGAGCACGCCAGGCCCTCCTGTCTTCCACTGCC